AGCCAGTGTTTCAGTCTGGCAGAATGAGGGAGGTCTAAAATCTGCATTTATTTTAGAACAGCAGAATGATTTCTGAATGATTTTCAGTGGCAGTGAAAGGCAGGAAAAGCTGTAAAACTCCTTTATTATTAGCAGCAGAGAAATGAAGTTTTAGTTTAAAAAAGAAATTAAATTTTGGTTTTGCTGTAAGAACTAAGCAGTTCATGCAGGTGTCATGTTGGTGTTAGTGCTTTGAACCTGCTGAAATGTGTACCATAAATACTGAAGCAGTTTATTTTAAATGAAAAAGAAATAAAATCAACTGCTTTACTGAAAAAGAAAGAATAAAAGCAAGGGGCTCACTCGTTTGAAGTCGTTCATGTTGGTGGCCTGCACTGGAGTGCCAATAAATGTGAAATATGTGATTCTCGTCGTCTCTTCGTCGCCATGATTGGACTGCACAAACAACTGCCACGGGGAAAAGCCAAAAGAAGGACTTTAAAATTTCAGATTTTCATTTGTACATTTTCATTTCAGAACAATCCTTTAGCCAGGATTTTTTCTGAGAATAATTACCTGCTGCTGTGCAATGCAACAGGGTGAATCTGTGATTGGTGTGATGGGGTTGTTTTTAATTAATGGACAATCACAAGATTTAATTATCATTCTTTTCTATTCCTTGCTAGCATCTGATGAAATCCTTTATTATTTTACTATAGTTTTAATAATGTATCTATCATAAAATAATAAATCAGCCTTCAGAACCACGGAGTCAGAATTTTGCTGTGGGGATCTCTATTTGTCAGAGTGACTTGGAGAAAAGTTCCAAAGTCTTTTTTCCCACCTTGAAGAAGGAGTCAGGACTCTCAAGGTTGTTTATTGGATCTTATCTAGAAAATTTCTTTTTTCTTGTCCAGCAGGACAGTGCCAGGCACTCTGTGTTATGTCTTTGTGTATATTTTGTGATGTGATTTTTAATGATGTGTACACTGTGTACAATTATGTACCAGTACCTATCACCTGTGTTAGACAGGGAGCTTCTGCTCTGGACCAATGCAGAAGTGCCACCATCACAGCAGGAGATGGAGAAAGTTCAGTTCCCTCCATCTTGCCATACAAAACCACTAAAATCCACTTTTCCACCCCATGATAACTTCACTATTATTCTGTTTAATTTGTCCTGACTTGCAGAATCTACTAAAATCTAAAATCCGCTTTTCCACCCCGTGATAACTTCACTATTATTCTATTTAATTTGTCCTGACTTGCAGATCTTCACCTGAGGTTGGTAACTTTCAAAGCCAGAGGTGTTCTGGGCTCTGTGCAAGGGTCTCTGAGCCCTTGGCCAGAGGGAAGTGCTGGCTTCTGACATCTCCCCCTTGTGTGCACACCCCATCTGTGCCCTCCAGATGTGGCAGCTGACCAAATGCCACCTTCATTTCCATCACACACATCCCTGTCTGTTATTTAACAGCGATTCATGGAGCAGCGCTGTTTCGCAGGGATTGCCCACAGCCCCAGGCTGGCTGGGCTGTGACACAAAGTGACAAACAGCCATTGCCCAGCTGGTGGCACTCACAGTGACACTGTTGACGTTCTGGAACTTGACGTAGCGCAGCTGCACGATGCCGTCCTCGCGGATGTCCTCGGGGCCCAGCTGCAGCGCCTGCGTGGGCTCGCTGCGCTCGGCCTCCTCAAAGTCCATGGAGCGCGGCAGGTTGATGAAAATCTTGATGGACTTGGGGCCCTGCCCTGGGACACACAGGGAATGGGAATTACAGTCCCTGGGATGGATTTGGGGCCTGCCCTGGGACACACACAGGCAATGGGAATTACAGTCCCAGGGATGGATTTGGGGCATGGACACACACAGGGAATGAATGGGAATTACAGTCCCTGGGATGGATTTGGGGCCTGGGACACACAGGGAATGAATGGGAATTACAGTCCCTGGGATGGATTTGGGGCCCTGCCCTGGGACACACACAGGGAATGAATGGGAATTACAGTCCCT